AGAGTTAGATCGACTGAAGAGGTTCTGTATTGCTTTTGAATATGTTCAAGCAGAGAAGATTAGAGACAACGCTGTTCATGGGGTTGAAGAAATTAAGGCCAAACTCACTAATATTGACGAGGAGACAGAAAAGGCACAGGAAGAAATACAGGAGTTTGAGAAACAGATTAAAGCTCTGACTCGGGCAAAGGAAGCCAGCATGGGGGGAGAAGTAAAAACTCTGTCAGAGAAAGTGGATTCACTGTCCCAAGAAATGGCTCGCGAAGCATCTAAACTCAATAATAAGGAGGACACCGTTTTGGGAGAAAAAGAGAATGCTGATAAGGTTAGCGACATGAGTAAAATGTTTTTAGCTCTCAGAACTTTTACAAATGTTCAGCTATTTCTGACATCTATAACTTCGTGCTTGGTGTTGCTAGATTGTTCACAATATAGAAGAGTTGAAGAAATCCGTAAAAGAGAGAGCAAGTGCTGTGAAGAAGTCTGAGGAAGGAGCGGCGGACTTAAAACGAAGATTCCAGGAACTCTCCACCACATTGGAAGAATGTGAAAAAGAGCACCAGGTAGTAACACTAACAAACATATTATTGTTTCTTGCCAAAGTTTGTTGTATGTTAACTAATTTTGCCTTGGTTATTAGGGCGTATTAGCTGGTAAGAGTAATGGAGATGAAGAGAAATGCCTAGAAGATCAGTTACGAGATGCAAAGATTGCTGTTGGAACAGCAGGAACAGAGTTGAAACAGCTGAAAACCAAGATAGGGCACTGCGAAAAGGAGCTAAATGAGAGAAAGTCTCAGTTAATGTCAAAACAGGATGAAGCCGTTGAAGTGGAGAATGAGCTTGGTTCAAGAAAAAGTGATGTGGAACGTGTGAAAAAGGCACTTGAATCTATTCCTTATAAAGAGGGTCAAATGGAGGCTTTGGAGAAGGTTAGCATGATCATCTTAGTTGATTTTATCTACTTTTACATAAAGTATATATGCATCTCTAACTGAGAAATATTCGTTTAGGACCGTGGATCTGAACTTGAAGTTGTGCAAAGGCTGGAAGATAAAGTGCGTGGTTTATCAGCTCAATTAGCAAATGTTCAGTTTACTTTCCGTGATCCTGTGAGAAACTTTGACCGATCAAAGGTGAAAGGTGTGGTCGCAAAACTAATAAAAGTAAAAGATAGGAACTCAATGACAGCGTTGGAGGTAAATTGGGTATCTTGTCATTACACAATGCACATTACTGAATCGTAATTTGTCTAAAGTCACTTTGCCTTTTTTCTTTCTTTAGGTTACTGCTGGTGGGAAGTTGTATAATGTTGTTGTAGACTCCGAAGATACTGGAAAACAGCTCCTTCAAAACGGTGCTCTTCGGAGAAGAGTTACAATTATTCCTCTGAACAAAATTCAGTCTTACGTTGTTCAGCCTAGAGTGCAGCAAGCAACTGCTAGATTGGTATGTGGATCTTTCGTTTGGCATTTGCAAATTTAATGACTTTGTTTTCTTCTTCTTCGCTAATTTTCTATTTTATTTATAGGTCGGAAAGGAAAATGCAGAACTGGCACTCTCTTTAGTCGGTTATAGTGAGGAGTTAAAGGTACCCACCTGAGTATAGGAACAAGAATCTGATAACATTTCTTCCAGTTATCAAGTTTTCAAGAATATCATAATATGCATCGCTGATAATTTTTCATCTTATTCACGAGCTTTAAGTGTTGAGCTTTTCGTCTGAATTATGGTCTTTTGCAGAATGCCATGGAGTTTGTTTTTGGCTCCACTTTTGTTTGCAAAACAACTGATGCAGCAAAGGAAGTAAGTCTTTCCCAAGCATTTTACATAACATGCAGCAGCTTCGGCTTTTCTCTCTTGTGAGACGATGTGTTAACTTATACTTTGACTCTATACGTGGAATACGAGTGTGCAGATATATTTTGATTGTCTCAGCTACTTTTTTAGTAGTGCCTTTGGTATATAGATTGATAAGGCTATCTCTGATCATTAAAGTGAAACACATGATATATGTCAAAGTTCCAAACACCATGTTCCCTCTTTAGGTTAATGGAATTGTATAGCCTTTCTAGATTTGGTTCTAGCAGTAGGAAAATTCTCATTTATGTTTACTCTTGATAGATAATCAATTTTTTAAAAGTTTATCACTTTGTTGGATTATAAATGCAACATCTTCCTCGATTTCTCACCCACTGTCTTTGCTACTATTTGATAGATTTATTTGATTGCTTATAAATACTTGCCTGTAGAGTTCAGTCTTATATGTATCCCTCATTGTTTCTTCTGCAGGTTGCTTTTAACCGGGACATTCGGACTCCAAGTGTCACACTTGAGGGTGATATATTCCAGCCTAGTGGTCTTCTTACTGGTGGCAGTCGCAAGTATGTCTTTCTTTCTTAGACGCTTAGATCTCTTCTGAGAGTCATCTTCTTGAATTTTACGGAATTGGCTCAGAAATGCCTCAAACTGAAGGAAAAAAGCATTTTGTTCTTGTTTATTCCTTTGCCTTAGGGGTGGAGGTGATCTCCTTAGGCAACTTCATGACATGGCAGAGGCCGAATCACAATTGCAAGGACATCAGAAAAGGTTGGCTGACATTGAAGCGCAGGTAAATCTCTTAAGTTATTCTAGGCATATTTTGGAACTTAGCAGCGTGCTAGGCATATTTTGATATTACAAAGAAACTGTATGAAGCAGTAGCTTAGGAAGCTCTCTTCAGACTCTCATGTCACAGTAGTAAAGTGCTTTCAGTATTTTTAAACTTGTTTATATTGATATCTCAGATAAAAGAGCTTCAGCCTCTGCAAAAGAAATTCACAGACGTTAAAGCACAGTTGGAGCTCAAAACGTATGACTTGTCCTTATTTCTGAAGAGGGCTGAACAGAATGAGCATCACAAGGTTTATACCTCCATATTCTATCTATATCTTGGGCTAAATTGTCAGTTTCGTATTGCTTTTTCTTGGTACTTGAGGCAAATATTTACACTTTCAATCCCGCCTACCTTTTGTAAATATAGCTTGGCGAAGCAGTTAAAAAGCTTGAGGTAGAGCTTGAAGAAGCGAGATCCCAAATCAAAGAGAAGGAACTTGCTTACAATAATTGTGTTGATGCTGTCTCCACATTAGAAAAATCCATCAAAGACCATGACAAGAACAGAGACGGACGACTCAAAGACTTGGAAAAAAATATCAAGACCATCAAAGCTCAGATGCAGGCAGCTTCCAAAGATTTAAAGGTATTCTTAGTCTTTTAGTCAGGAACTTATATGCCATTGAACTTATGGATTTTTTATAATACTGGCCCTTACAAAATTCGTTGTCACGTTCTCTATGATTCGTCATGCACATAGAGTCATGAAAATGAAAAAGAGAAGCTTGTGATGGAGGAAGAAGCAATGGTGCAAGAACAGTTGTCCTTGGAGAGCCAGTTAGCTTCGTTGAAAACCCAAATTACCACTCTGACTTCAGAAGTAGATGAGCAGCGGGCCAAGGTGATTGTCTAATTTGCTACTCTTGGTGAAATTTGTTTAAAAGGGAGAAACATATAATGTTAAGATATGATTCCCCTGCAGGTTGATGCCTTGCAGAAGATTCATGATGAGTCTCTGGCTGAGCTAAAGTTGATACATGCAAAGATGAAGGAATGCGATACACATATAAGTGGTTTTGTCACTGACCAGGAAAAATGTCTGCAGAAGCTTACTGACATGAAGCTTGAGAGAAAGAAGCTGGAAAATGAGGTATTCTTTCTACCTCGTCTTCTTGTCATGCCTGGGTTTGTGCATTTTCATGACAACTTTTTCCTACAAATTATTAGGTAGTAAGGATGGAGACAGATCACAAGGATTGTTCTGTGAAAGTAGACAAACTTGTTGAGAAGCATACATGGATTGCATCTGAAAAGCAACTTTTTGGAAAAGGAGGGACAGATTATGACTTTGAGTCTTGTGATCCGTATGTAGCTAGAGAAAAACTTGAAAAGCTCCAGTCAGATCAGTCAAGGTATATGTGTGACTGTATGAAGATTAACATTTGTTTACCTTTATGTAGCGTATATTATGTTCACAATCTGCGAGTGCAACATCAATATAACATATGCATTCTTCTTCTTTTCCTGGTTTTTTTTGCATTTCCCTCATATGAAGCTTGGAAAAAAGAGTGAACAAAAAGGTTATGGCGATGTTTGAGAAAGCAGAGGACGAGTACAATGCTCTGATATCGAAGAAAAACACAATTGAGGTTAGTTGCTGACGACTGAGAGGCTGATGTATGTTTTTCAATAGCTTGGTGTGCAGTCGCTGATGGAATATTTTCTTTACCAGAATGACAAATCCAAAATCACGAAAGTGATTGAGGAGCTCGATGAGAAGAAGAAAGAAACCCTGAAGGTTACATGGGTTAAAGTTAACCAGTGAGTCTTTGATGATCTAAAATTCATTTTTCCTTCAATTCTAAAATGAATCTTATGATATTCACCTTCGTTAAATCCATGTGTTTTAGGGACTTTGGATCAATCTTCTCGACACTACTACCCGGCACCATGGCAAAACTAGAACCTCCAGAAGGAGGTAGCTTCCTTGATGGTCTCGAGGTGCGTGTTGCCTTTGGGAAAGTGTTGAAGCAGTCTTTATCAGAACTCAGTGGAGGGCAAAGATCTCTTCTTGCGCTATCGTTGATCTTGGCATTGCTTCTCTTCAAACCGGCTCCTCTTTATATATTAGACGAGGTACATGACATCTCTGCTTTTCAGTGATCAGATTTCTCAGTTCTCAACTAATATTTAACATTCCCATGATTTTGGATTTGTCAGGTTGATGCAGCTCTTGATCTCAGTCACACACAGAACATAGGAAGAATGATAAAAGCTCATTTCCCTCACTCGCAGGTCAAAATCTCTTTCTCATAAGCCTTTTCCTCACTTACGTACTCTTATGTTGTTTTCTTAAAAATCAATTTTTTGGTCTCTAAACAATCTCTGCTTTTGAAACTCGATTCTTTGACAGTTCATCGTGGTTTCGCTGAAAGAAGGAATGTTCAACAATGCCAATGTTCTCTTCCGGACAAAGTTCGTTGATGGAGTTTCAACTGTACAAAGAACTGTAACAAAACAGACCAAGTGATCTGCTTGTACCTCAATCCAATCGTTATATCCCAAAATCTATCTATCAATATTCAGATTTTTTATGTTTTAATGTTTCATCAGTGAACATCCATTAACTTAGACTCTTATAGACTAAAAGAAAACATACTATCAATTCATGACGCTCAAAGATTAACGAGATATCACAAACTAATTTTATTCATGTTTTGATTTTAGTTTTCACCTGTTTCTTTTATTACAAGAACCAATTCGGAATCCAAACTATTACAATGCATTTTCTAATGATGATATTTATGTTCCAACCACCATAAATTCCTATGGCAACCAAAAGAAAGATACATTTTATCTACTTCGTTTTAGTTTGGTTTTCACTTAAGGAAAACTATTCAAAGTCATACATTATCACATTGGTAGGTTATACAATTTATAAGAAAAAAACTAAAATAGCTGAGAAATATTTTGAATATCGGATCAATATTAACTTGAGAAGTCCAAATACTAATGAAAAACTCGATTTTGTTCTGTTTAGTCTCCCTTAATATAATCTATTCTTTATCTCCTGGTAATAAAGTTAGTTAGAAATATATTTTTGACATGTGTACTCATTTTACACTAAATCTGAATCTGTTTTGAGTGTAAATCTGAATCCGTTTTGACTCTGATATGATATAAATCTGGAAATGAATAACTGAGTTCTCTGATTCTTCTTTCATTCATTTTCATCACTGATATCAAATTTTAAATCTGATTTTAGTGGTGTTTGATAGTAATTTTCAATTAATCTGCTGTTGATTGATTTGTGAAACAAGGATTCCGAATTACATCACATAACAAAATAAAATGCCGCTCCTATTGATCCTCCCTCGAGTTCACGTTCCAGGCCCTTATCCAGCATCTCCGGGCGAGTTCCCATTTACGACTCAGACTCCGAATCGTCAGGTGATTTTCTTTTCTGCTTCTACTAATCTTAGTTTGCGCTTCCTTAATCTTCGTTTCCGCTTCGATTTAGTTTTTTTATCTGATTTATTTCAAGGTGGATAGGCCCCTATTGGTGACTCTGCAGAAGAAATTTCATCTGTAGCCGCTACTAGTCAAAGTACGATTGGATCTGTGATTGTGTTTCTTTTCTAATTTATCTTAGGTCAATGATAATACTAAATCTACTAAAGAAACTTGAATTAGATTAGTCCAGGTTCTGTTTTTTTTTGGTTAGAATTGAATATTGTGATTGGCATGAAGATTGACGATCTTTAAGTTATCAAGCGTCTAGTAGATGCTCGCATCCTTAGGAATATTAGTGTTTAATGAAATGATTATATATAACAAAGAATGTCTCGAAGAGTCTTTAGTAGATCCAATTGGTTCTTGAAGTCTTTGTGAGTTAGGGTTTTTTCTCGTTTCAACAAGTAATCAAAGATAATCTTGCTTAGATTTATAGTTTTATAGTCACTTTCCGTTTTAGCATTTTTGTCAGCATTTCGTTACAAGCTGTATCACAAATTATCATCATGCTTTTAGAAACTGGGAATGAAAATACTTAATTTTGCTCAAAGCTTCTAAGCTTGTATGTTTTACTGTGTATGCGTTATCATGAAACAGAAGCATATGGAGAGAGACATGGCGATCATGGGGGACAAACTGATACTGAGAGGATTGAAGTTTTACGGTTACCATGGAGCCATCCCTGAAGAGAAGACCCTGGGACAGATGTTTATGCTTGACATTGATGCATTTATGTCTCTCAAAAAGGCTGGTCTATCAGACAACTTGGCAGATTCTGTCAGCTATGTCGACATTTACAAGTTAGTTTTCTTTCTCAATTTACTGATCACTTTGGAATGGAAGATTTTTAAAAGGTTGTGATTAGGTGGTTATATAGTGAGTAAAAACTTTTGGCATATGTAGAATTTTTATTTGAAGCTATTTGCAGGGAAGTTGTAGAAGGGTCGTCAAGAAACCTTCTGGAGTCAGTAGCGGAGCTCATAGCCTCCAAAAGTTTTGAATCATTCCCTAAGATAACAGCTATTCGTGTGAAGCTATGGAAGCCAAATGTTCCTCGTATTATGAGCGGTATCGATTACTTAGGTATCGAGATCCTCAGGATTCGCCCGACTGAATAAGAAGACTTAATACAATCATTTGTATCACAATTCTTCTGTCTTCTTAGCTGGTTGTATCCATGGAATTTTGTATCATGATTCTGTTTGTCTCTTTTCGCAATTTCTATATGTATGGGGTCACTTTTCAATGGAAAGTTAAAATAAGGGCTTTTTTGCAAAATGTTTAAACATTATTTCACAGATGCTGCGAACTTCAATTCTTTGTTCAGTTCCTTTTTCAAGAGAAAGAAAAATCGAAGTTGCAAAAATTTCAGGTCACATACAGTAGTCTTTTGCTTTGATCAAAGATATGACTTTGTGAAGTTTCATCTTTATTGTGTTTTCTGCAAATAATCAAAGGTAAATATTGTTATTAACCACAAGCTGAAAACTCTACTTCTCTCCAAACCAAAACACTTCATTCCAATTCAAATCCTCTACAAATGCCGATCTTACCTCTGCATCGAAAACCCTCGCACAATTGTCTCCATGATCCGTCGCTATCCCACAATAATCTTCGAACTGTTTACAACACCTACACCACATTTGCCTATCAATGCCACCAAGCCACTGTCTCAGCTCTGTGTCCGTATGACATCAGCTGCATCGTCCCTTGCCATCCAAGAAATTGAATCTCAAGTCTGAAATTTCTGATAAGTTAGCCACTAAGCTTCAGAAGCTGCTAATGTTGTACCGCAGGTTGCTGTTGTCGAAACTGGTACATATCGGTCCGGATTTTGGCTCCCCTCCTAATTTCAGGTCTCGGCTCTGCAACGATTATCCCGACAAGTTCAAGATTGTGGATACTTCCTACGGAAGAGCTGTAGACCTTGTCTCGTGGGATCACGAATTGGCGAAGCAAATGCCGTCTCCTGAGGTTGATAGGGGTTTGATCGTTGATCGTCCTTTGCGGTAGTATCACTAACAAACAGATGATTGTTTCTTGCCAAAGTTTGTTGTATGTTAACTATTGTGCATTGGTTATTAGGGAGTTGTAGCTGGTAAGAGTAAGATTTCCATAGGTTCCGTTTCCGTAAGATTTTTGATTCCCAATCATAAACTATACGACCATAACCAGACGTTTGTACCATCAGAGGACTTACGGTATTGATGTCGTGATTCCATCCCTCGCAAAAACGTTACCATTAACTCATCACTCATGGATGCACAAAACATATGGAGATGATAGGAATTCAAGTTTGATAAATTGCATCTTCTTCTTGTCGAAAAATAAAACAACTACACTTGAGGCAGAAACTGTCCATGTCGTGATAGAGGCCCAATTATTTGTAGCCCAAAGAGTAGCTTACTTGGAGTTGAAGCAAAAACAAGAAACGAAGAAAAAAGCCAACTTCAAGCCCTAGATCGTCTTCCTCTGTCTCTCATTTGTTTGGTTCTTTCCTTTAAAATAAAAAAAATGTAAAAAATTTCGAAGTTTCCTACTCCTATTTTACTATTTATATGATTAAAACCTAAAAGAGTAGGGAACTTTTGGGGTTTCTAAGTTTGTGAATTTGTACTAGCAGAGGTCTTCTTAAGGCGATGAGAAGAGGAAGAGGAGGAGACGATTGGGTCGCGCCGGAGATTCCCTTGGAAATCTAGAACGAGATCCTGCTTAGATTGCCTGCTAAATCGCTGATGAGATTCAAGTGCGTCTCAAAGCGCTGGTTTACTCATATCCTCTCTCGATATTTTAGCAATCGTTATCATCTTACGGTGGCATCCACACCTCGTCTATACATGAGTTTGGTGGACCACGTCCCCTGTGATTCACTGGAGGTCTGCAACAACCCCTGGGAGTCTGTGCTGCTATCATTATCATTATCATCGTCTGGTGATAGTGCTAAGTCTTTCGACTCAGACTTGATCATGCCAGGGATGGGAGGAAACAACATGTCGGTTCTTCGCGGCTTGATTTTATACAGTGTTTGCGAAAAGGCGTGTATCTATAATCCCGCCACCAGACAAAGCATAACTTTACCGCCCGTAAAATCCAATCTCTATTATTAAGAGAAATTTTTCAAGCATGTCGTCTACTATTTCGGACACGATCCTGTTCTTGATCAATACAAAGTAGTCTGCAGTGTTGTGCTATGCTCAGAGTTTTTGGAGAGTATAACCTCGGAGCAATGGGTCTTGGTACTCGAAGCCGGAGGTTCCTGGAAAAGAATTGAGTTTGATCAACCTCACTTGCCTACAAGACCAGCACTGTGCATCGATGGAGTTTTATATTATTTGGTTTCCACTTGTATGACTCGCAGTATTGCTCTCATCATTTCATAAGCATACGGGTTTTATAGAGTATGGTGGAAAACCAGCTCTGTTTGATCATACCAATCTTGTACGAATGGGTTCGGTGGACTTATGGGTCTTGCTCTTGGAAGATGGTGGAAAGTGGTCGACTAAATCTCTCGTTTTTCAGCCTTGTCAGAGGCATTTAGTTGGTAGATACATGTCATTGCATGTACATGGTACTACTCAACACGGCGAGGTTATCTTGGCCCCGTTTAAATTGGTTTCCCCTTATTACATTCTCTATTATGATGTGCAACAGAATGACTTGAGAAAGGTTGGAATCAGAGGAATACCGGACCACTGGTTTGGTAAGCGTGACAAGGTTTACACCACCTTGAGTTTTTATTTCAGTATTATGGATACCAGTGAAAGCATCATGCACTTGAAATCTTAGAAGACAATGCCATTACCTGTTTTTGTTTTTTTTTTCTCCCTTTTAATATTTTCATTATCTAAATGGTTCTGCCTATTTATTTTGTAATTCAAGTTTTACTTGTATAGAAATAAAAAATTCAGTGAACTCTTTTCTTTGTTCTCGTTTTATATTTTAAATTCATGTATTCAAGTGATCTATTTACACCTCAGTTGAATTAGATCCAGTATGTATCCATCACTATGCAGATTTCGCAACCTCATTCGGATTTTAATAGCAAAATGTTTTAGTAGTGAGAGTATGAGTATCCATTGTCTATCTGTTCTTTAAGGTGGAAGACTTACCTTAAGCTTTAGGTTTGTCATCTTGCAGTTTTCTCTTTTTGCTGTGAGTTTGTGACTGTGAAGAGATTATGTTAGTGCGACCACTTATGATGATCTAGTGGGATTCAAAACCGGTTATGTTTTGTTTGTTTACATCAAGGGTTTTTGCTACAAATGTTTTTTTTTTCTTTATTTTTCTTAATTGAAAATGTTTATATTTAGTTGAAAAGGAATATTGGTTTGGTTAATTTGTATTGGTTAAACTCTTGGTTTCGGTTGGTTAACAAGGAACCGGAGACTACAAGTATTTTTATTTGTTCTTAGATTACAACTATATCACATCATGACGCTCAAAGGCCAACGAGTAATCATAAACAAATTTTAAATCATGGTATGATTTTTTGTCAAATTTTCAGAATTCAAACTATTACAATGCATTTTCTAATGCTGAAGTTTATGTTCCAACCACCACAAATGCCCATATAGCAACTAACAGAAAGTTACATTTTATCTAATTTGTTATAGTTTATTCTTCCAAGAAGAAGAGACCACAAGGTCCCACAGTACGTTACCATGATACCATCTCTTCGAATAAACTATTAACTACAAAGTTACAAACCTCATTCAAGAACCAAGAATCAATAACCAAAGAACCAAAGAACCAAGAGCCAAGAACCACCAGAGAGACTTGTATCCGATAATTCGTCTCTTTCCACCATTGACAAGCAAACAATACTGTGTAAGATAAATAAAAAAGAGAAAAGTGGTTTTAGAATGTGTGTATGTGTGTGTTAAAGTGGAGCAAAGGGCTCAGGAAGCAGCTCGAATCCACCATTGTCAAACATGAGTCCGTGATCTGACGACCTGTCATCGATACTATGCAACCAGTTTGTGTTCTTGACGTCCTCTTTCAACAACAATGCGTCATACCTCGAACTCTCGTACATGTCCATGTCGCTCAACCTCCCCATCAGTCTTCTTCCTTCGTTTGCTTCATTACCGTTCTCTCCGCTGTTGCTGCTCATCGAATCCGAAAGGTTATTCCCTGAACGGATAGGCTGAATCTTGGACGAGGCTTGTCTGATACTCTGAGGGAACAGCGTCGTGGTTGCTAGTGCGCATCCGTTGCTCTTCCCGTTTCTTATGTCCTACACACCATAACAACAATGTTAAGATATTTTACATCATGATCAAAGGTTAAATGAGAAGAGATGAAACTAAACGTACCATGTGCCTAATCGCCATATCGAGTGAACTTTTAGAGAATGACCTCCCAAGCCCGTTGTTATTGTCAGTGACAGTTGATGAAGTCCTCAGGGTTCTCCGTGAGGTTACGTCTGAGACGTTTGAAATCCTTCGTGGCTCCGGTGCATCTGCGAGGTGGTGATGTCCATTACCACCAAAACGGCCTTTCCCTTGGGGCTCTGTGAGTCTTCCTCTCGCCACAATGGGAGATGAGTTCCTTCTTGTTATGGGACCTTTGGCTTCTGGACTTGCTTTTGCAGTGTTATTACCAGCGACTGGCCTGGACCTGCCAGCAGATATTGGTCTGTCTGGGAGAGTTGTTCTGAGATTAGGCGGCGTATCAAGAGGGAAGTCTGCTAGCACAATTGGTTGTTGTGGGGTGGTTCGAACTCTAGGTCCAGGAGAGCTTGGCCTAGACAATGAAGGTGCGGTACGACCGTTTACTGCAGCACGTCCACTTGAAATATTGGATCCTGGTGGTGCAGATACGGAGGTGGATGGGCTTCGACGGGTAGGGGTTGAAGGACGAGAATTTGGTCTGGAAGTGATTATGTTTGGGGAGTTTGCTGAGACTGAGAGCTGTGGTCTAGAAGTGGGAGTGGATGGTCTTGAGCTCAGGGACGTTCTTGGTTTGTCAATGTTAGAACTAGATGACACTGGACGGATTCTGGACGGTGTTGAGGCCCGTGATACCGAAGTGGTACGGGTGGGAGTGGAAGGTCTAGCTGAAGATGAGGAACGGGAGCTTGGGGAGGAAGGTCTGATGTAGGATGAGACTGAAGCTG